ATGTCCTTTATGACAGGAAAGGACAAGCTGACAAATGGCCCTCAGTGACGGTATTTGGGGGGACTGAATTAATCCCATTATTCAGTCTGCCTTTAATGCTGGAGCTCTCAGTGTCTCTCTGATGCTGCCAACATCTGAAAATGGCCTGGTCTCTCTCTCTCTCTCTCTCTCTCTCTCTCTCTCTCTCTCTCTCTCTCTCTCATTTTCTTCATCCCATATATTTTTTGTGATTATGTGATTCTTCTCCTTTATTGATCATGTCCATGTGGCTGTTCTGACACTAATGATGCAATCTCTCACAACTGTCTACACATCACAAACACAAGACGGGATTCCCAGCCTGTATGGCCTGGTGTGCAGAGCTGGCTTTCTCTCTGCCCCTTGAAAACCGCAGGGCTAATAATCATCTCTTTACCTCTGCCCCATCCTTTTTTCTGGCTCCTCTTCAATCCTTACCTGTCAAGTAGCACATCTGGAATCTTGGACATTGTCCAGAGAAGTGGGAAGTGTCATGGATTGCACCCCTATCTGCAGTAATCTATTAGGCAAACTCTCCAGGTGACAGCATTATAATTGTAAGGTACCCTGAGTCTCCTCTAAGCAAGATTGAGCAGCATAAAAATGTAATCATAAATAAAAAATAAATTTGTGAAATCGTTGATCTGCTGTGATATTGATAATCCCATGAAAGAAATATAGGTTCAGTATAAATCAAGCAAACTCTTCCACCAGAAAAAAAACTCAAGCCTAAGTGACCGGAGGAGCTGATTTGAAGTATTTTTTATGGTTATTCGTGTTTGCCAGTGGGAATACTGATCCCATAGAAAATATGCTTTCATGAGATCAATTTTCCCATGTCCAACCTCCCCTTCCTGGAAAAAAGAAAAAGAAAAAATAGGCCGCATAAATGAGAAGTCTGGACTCTCACGGCCACAATTAAGTAGCTATGATTGGACAGGAGTGGGCATCTTACAATCACTAAAGCGGAGTGAATTTCTGACTATATCATTCGAAGCCTCCTTGAGATGTGAATTTTATATCAGGGACTTTTGAATTGGGATAAGAGGAAAACATCCACTTTCATACTGGGACTTCTTGAACAAATGTCAGACTCCCACAGCAGTGGCTAACAATGAAATAGACACATTTTCTAAGAATATGCTAGCAAGGTCTCTTCTTACCTCAACAAATAGTATATGAGGGTGAGCCTATATTGTTACTTTAACAATATTAACTTGTGCTATATGTTTTATCCTACATGATCCTCTATCACTTGGAGCTTATAATTAAGGAGGATTTGATTTCATTTCCACTGTGTGGTAGTCTAGCTTGTGGCTGCTTCAGGAGAATATTCTGAATTCTTGGTTGCTCTCCCATCCTCCCCAACCAGCAGGGCCATGTCTGTGGAGATTCTCAGTCATCCAGGTCATGGTTGTCCCAAAGTACTTTTTTCACGAGGCAACTGTACTTTCTTGTTTTTCTTTGAAGACGTTTCACTTCTCATCCAAGAAGCAAAACCACTCTTAGGCCACTCTTTCAAAGACAGAGAGGACCACTGGTTTGAAAGAGGGGTCAAAGAGGCCATTTATGTCAAAATTGAACAGCCCTCTCTCAGCAGAGGGGGAGGGATACAACATCAGCTATCTCCAGTCTACAACACAGTGCTTTCAACAGTTCCAAGAAGGCTCCACACCCATTTGCAATACTCAGGTAACCCCGACAACACAGATAAGCCTCCAGATGGCATCGACTAGCTAAAAGAATGCAAATGACCAGCTGTCTGCAAGGAGTATAAATCCTTCCATTCCCCACCATCCAGTCAGAGCTGAAGAAGCTTCTTGGATGAGAAGCGAAACGTCTTCAAAGAAAAACAAGAAAGTCCAGTTGCCTCATGAAAAAGCATCTTTGGGATCACTTTAAGAATCTTCTGTATTAGAATATGAATCCTATTCCAATATTTCTTTGTTTTATCACATGTCTACCATAAATGATAAAAAGTCCCTTCTTTACATCTGCATTTCCAGCATTCATTTAAAATACTTTTATACATTCTTGATAACTTATCTGGTGTTAAATACCAATGATACGTCATCTTATGAAATAGTTCTTTTAAATTGTAATTTAATGTAAATTTTAAACCTTCCATCCACATATTCTCCCATTGTTCAAGCTTTACATTATATCTAAAGTTCCTTGCCCAACTGAATCATATAATGCTTTACATATTCACTTTCCAAATTCAAATTCAATAACGTTTTATAGACCTTAGCAATGATATGTTCATCACTACCACACGGTAGGATTTCCAATTCATTTTTAACAGCGTCAAACCCATAGCTCTTTTTGTCTAATTTAAATCTTTCTTTCAGTTGTAAATATGTAAACCAGCAGCAGGACTATGGTTTCTTTTCTATACTATCCTTTTGTATACTTCACTAAAGCAATATTTACAGTATTTTCCCCTTTAGTCTATCTTCAGGGTTCTTTGCAGAACAATATTAAAATGACTTCTGAGCCTCCTTCCCTTCCATCCTTTTTTTAAAAAAATTGGCTTTGATTGTCTAAATGCTTATGAAAACATTTCGCCCTTAGTTCTTGAGTGCTAAATGTTAGTGACAATCTTGTGCCCTCGGCCTATCTCCCCTCATCCCTTGCATACATTTTCCATGTTTATCTGCAGAGAAATCTTTTAGAGAGTGAATGTTTCTCCTATTGGGTAAATCTCTTGTTCTCTCCTTTTTGTTCTCCTATCAGTTTAGGTTTTATTTATTTTTTCAAAAATGCTATATATAGCAGGAGTGTAGCAAAGGTCTCTCCTCAGCGGGTGCATAAATCATTCCAGATATGAGGTTGATATATGTGTGATTTGTTCTGATTGGAGCTAATGCAAGTACCCCCCCCCCCATGTCACTTTCTTTTACTTGAATTTCTTGTAGTCTGGATTCCCTGCCTTGAGTTTCAACAGAGAAAGGGTGAGGTTAGATTCAGGTTTAGCTTTCTCTGGGATTTAGCTTCCACTTGTGTCTTCAGGGGCATGCCTCTTCTGTCTTTGAGATGAGGGATGTATCTAGACTGCCACATCTCACAATTAATCATGTGGAACGTGTGACTGCAGCAAAAAAGTATGCAGCTACAGTGTAAATGCTTGTTTTTGAAATGGGAGCCTTCTGTGAAATCAGGATCTGCATATCAAGCATCACACTGACATCACTTCTGATTGTGAATGACAGCCCTCTGACAAAAGAAAAGGAAGTTGGGGGAAAAAAGGGAAGCTGGGAATTTTAGGCTCTCTTGGGTCATCAAGAGCACAACTATCACAGCAACCCATGGCAACTGTACTTGCAACATATAAGTGAATGACGTTACATCCACCAGAGTCTTATGTTAGAGTATTCTAGCTCAGTCTTTTCCAAAATTATATCCTGTGGATTCATTGGACTCCATGTATGTCTAGCTGGATGAGGAATGTTTGGAATTGACTCCCAACCTATTGGGAAGACAGCAGAGTAAAGAACTCTCTCTCTCTATATATATATAAGTGGCATTGCTCTAAGTGTGTGCAGGGGCTACTTGGGAATTTAGGAGTAAGTTTGGTCCCTCCTATTTACATGAGTCCATTCTGGTATTCAGTGCACAGTTTGGATTTTAATGTTGCTTCTGCCAACAAACATACTTTGAGTTTGTTCCTGGAGAAGCAACAATTCATGAATTAAAAAGGCACTTCTCTGTTATAGATATATGCAAGTCCTGCTTACTGTCTGACTATCATGTCAAGGTAAAATTCTCCACATCCATCTAATCCAGTGATGGCGAACCTTTTAGAGACTGAGTGCCCAAAAACTGGCCCCGCCCTGCTCCACCCCCGCCCCTGCCCTCACCCCACCTGCCCACAGGGCCACTCACCGCCTCCAGGGCCCGCTGCAGATCACCCAGCAGCGCCATGGCAGCCATGCCCTCTGCCCACACCCCACAGCATCAACTGTGCGCGATGGGGCATGAGGGCAGAATCTTGTCTACACTGCCTGGCTGCCATGTCCTTGACTGCACTGCTCCGCATGGGGCACGCTCGGGGGCAACCCTTCTCCAGGAGGGCTGCTGGTGAGGAGGGTGTCATGGGTGGAGGCAAGGCTGGGGCAACAGTACATGTGACCACAGAGAGGACTCTGAGTGCCGCCTCTGGGACCCATGCCATAGGTTCGCCACCACTGATCTAATCCATCCATCCATCCATCCATCCATCCATCCATCCATCCATCCATCCATCTATCTATCTATCTATCTATCTATCTATCTATCTATCTATCTATCTATCTATCTATCTATCTATCATCTTTTTCTCTCTATGCTCTGTATCCATTTATTGTACAATCTATCTATATCTATCTGTCTGATTGTCTGTCTCAGTTTAGATTCATACCGGTAGGAACAATCTCTCTTGATTCTTGTCACCAACAATGTTTTTGAGTTGTTTTTAATGTTGTTATTGCCAGTATTCAGAAGTAAGAAGAGGTGCATATGGAACTAAGCACTGTTAATTATGCACAAGAGGAAGACAGATATGGAAACACCCAGACACCCAATACAATTTGGTGGTGTATAAAGAAAATCCCAAATTCCCAAATGAGAATTTAATATACTGGTCCTTCAACACAGATGACAGCAAGGGGTTATGAGGGAGAATGGAAAAGAGGGGGAGAGGTAATGAAACAGAGTATGTGGGGAGGGCATGTCAAACTGTTTGGAACAATAAATTGCAACATTTTTGTATTCCTTCCACGTTACAGATCTCATTGTTGTTCATGATGATGTAAAGTTATAAAAGATGTGATGGCATATTTTTTTTTATCTCAATAGACATTGCATATAAATTTTAGTTTGTGTTCCTTGGGTTAAATTTCCAATAGGAAGAACGTATAGCTTGCGATAAGAGTGCATAAACAAATGATTTCTTCTAATCAATCCTGTTGTCCCGAGTTGATTGGATTCCTCTCATCTTATAGAGCCTTACAGCCCAGCTGTGTGGGTGATGATGTTTGTGATGTGTCTCACGGTTGTTGCTATCACAGTCTTCATATTTGAATATTTCAGTCCTGTTGGCTACAACCAGAATTTAACCAGTGGCAAAAGTAAGTTTCCAAATGGCTCAGTGAGTAAGTTGCATTACTTGGGTAGTGGGGGAGGCAAGACAAAAAGCTGGATTATTCTTTTATTAAGCATTTTCCTACCAATAAAATAGACCAAGGAAGTCCAGAAGTTCTTGCCTATTGGCCTTTTTCAACCACCTCAAGAAGAATGACAGCCCAGACTGAACAGAAAGATTTGAAGTAAGCAAGGAGTGGAAAAAATATAGAGCATGCTGTCTTATGGTTACCTATTAAACCACATGCATAAGAGAAGAGCTCTGCAACTGCAAAAGATATTAGCTTATAAATACTTTCTGTGTTTTGCATGGAACTCATTGCAGTCCCTGCCAATGAAGAGTCATACATATCTGCTCCTCCCAGGGTTCCCTTTGGTCTGATTCCCAGGATAAGAACTGTTCCCAGGATAAGAACTCTTTGGACCTCTGCATCTTGGACATCTATTTCCCTGAGATTGTGCAACTGCCATGTAAGCCTAGGCAAAGGCACCATGTTTTGAAGGAGGCACCAGCAAATGTAGCATATCTGCCAATACTTATTCTGAAGTGCTGCACATGCCTGGTTAATAGGATCATTTTTCACCCAGTGGCAAAGCAGCAACAAAGCAGTATATGACATTAATGTATTTGTAATTGTTCCCCGATTTGTACATCATAAGTGCAAACTTGGCAATTACCATTGATCTCTAATACTTCAACACTTGAAGGACTACCACAAGGAAGATGGGCCAATTTATTTACCAAAGCACTTGTAGGCAGGGCAAGAAACAATGGATGGGAACTAACCAAGGAGAGAAGCCACCTAGAACTAAGGAGAAAATTCCTAACAGTGAGAACAACTAACCAGTGGAACAAATTGCCTTCGGAAATTGTGAGTGCCTCAACATTGGAGGCTTTTAAGAAGAGACTGGACAATCATCTATCAGAAACAGTGTAGTCTCCTCCAAGAGCAGGGGGTTGGACTAGATGACCTCCAAGGTCCCTTCCGACTCTGTTACTGTTACCTCATACACACATGGGTAACAGATAAGGAAACAGGAACTTACACATTAGATTAGAAGTCTTGGAAATCTTGGGTGAGAATCGAAAGGTTGTTCAAAAGCTTAACGTTATTTTTTATACCTCATTAAACACTGAACATACTAGATTTCAAGAGACCAAATCTGTTACGACTGAGTGGATTATTTTTTTAATGAAAAGAGCCATCTAAGAGTCTTTTGGGCAAGCTATACAGACCAATGAAATGCAAAGAAGAACAATGTTCAAACGGATGTATAGAACTGGAAATGTCAGAGAATGGCTTTTCTCACACCTGTATGATTAGCTGCACCATCTATCTACAATAATTAAAAAAAATCCTCTTTGAATCTTGTAGGTAGACCTATAAACATCATATCCTTGAGACTGTTTTGATTTAATCCACAGTGAAAAACAAATCACATGGTAGCTTGTATTTTATTTTATTTTTTTGTCATTTTGACCCAGGCTGCTGCTAAGCATTGTGTGAAAAATCCCTCCATTCTAGGCCTGGTCAGTTCTTTGACAATATCTTTGCCCCTGAACTGTCATCAGCAAGCTAGATTAGCCTGATCTAC